ACAAGTCTCAAAGTCCCCATCTCGGTCGGGAAACGCCAAACAACTCTGAAAACGCTCCTAGACACCGGAGCTACAATAAACGTCATTGGTCTCGAAGAACTCAACAGACTCAAGCGGCTCGACGCAATGGCAGAAAACATCAACCACAGCGGCAGCGCCCCGCTCAGAATGTACGACAGAAGCATCACCAGGAGCCTTGGAACAACAAACATAACCATTGCTCACGGCGGGAGATCCCACGTATTAAACTTCCAGGTGATAGACAGAAAGGTCGACACATTGCTCTCCGCTCGAGCATGCCTGGAGCTGGAACTCATACAGATATCAGACGATGTCGAATGCGTAAACAGCCTCACGGTGGAACAAAACGCACAACTAGAAACGCTCATCGGCGAATACGCGGATATCTTCACTGGCCTCGGTAAGTTACCCACACCAGTGAGGCTATACATTCGAGCAGATGCTATCCCAGTACAACAACCACCACGCAGGACACCCCTGGCAATAATAGAACCACTCACACAGCGTCTTCGAGAAATGGAACGAGCAGGGATCATAGAGAAAGTCGATCATCCCACGGAGTGGGTCAGCAACATCGTTCCGGTCCACAGAGAGGGGTAGAAACTCCGTGTCTGCCTCGACCCACACTATCTCAACAAGGCACTGGAGCGGCCTCGATTCCCAATGCCGACGCTGGCAGAAGCGCTACACAAGCTGAAGGACGCCAAAATCTTCACGGCAATCGACGCCCGAGACGGATTCTACCAGATGGAGTTGGACGAAGCCAGCGCAGATGCGACGACCTTCTGGTCACCCATCGGCCGATTCCGATACCGAAGAGTTCCTCAGGGGATCTCGAGCGCCCCGGAGGAATATCAGAAGAGACAAATGCGGGCCTACGAGGGACTGAAGGGAGTGATCGTCGTCGCCGACGACACCCTAGTCTAAGGAGAAGGCGCATCGCCCGAAGCGGCAGCGGCCGATCACTTCAGGAACCTCCGAGCCCTTTTTGAGCGCGCTCGTCAAGTCGGCCACAAATTCAACAAAGAAAAGCTCAAGCTTGGAGTCCCGGAAGTCAGATTTCTGGGCCACGTAATCAGCAGAGAGGGCCTCAAGGTCGATCCAGAAAAAGTGAAGGCGATCCTCGAGATGCCCAAACCGACAAACGTCAAAGGCGTCCAGACATTCCTCGGATGCGTTAACTACTTACTTCAGTTTACTCAATCTGGCCGAGCTGACCGAACCACTCAGACGACTAACACAGACGGAGAGGTACGACTTTGCATGGCAGAGCCAACAGGAGGAGGCATTCGAGAATATCAAACGACATCTCACAAATGCACCCACACTAGCATACTTCGACCAGACGAAGGCAGTGGTTCTCCAAACGGACGCCAGTGATTTTGGCATCGGAGGACTTCTCTTGCAAGAGGGCAAACCTGTCGCTTACACCTCGCACACCCTCAACAAGACGGAACGAAACTACGCCGTCATTGAGAAAGAATGCCTTGCAATACTCGTCACATGCAGGAAATTCGACAAATACATCTACGGAAACCCCGACGTTGTCGTGCATACCGACCACAAGCCTCTGGAGTCGATTTTCAGCAAACCGCTTGACGCCTGCCCAAAAAAGCTGCAGCGGATGAGATTGGCACTACAGAGGTACAGCTTCAGGGTGACATACATTAAGGGAAAAACCAACTTCGCCGCCGACGCGCTTAGTCGGAGCCCCCTACCACCGGAAGCAGACGATCCAGTAGAACAGATTCGAAGAATAGACCTTGAGCTCATCAGACATCGAGACCCGTCGAAGATCTCAGACATAACGCTCGATCGAATAAGAGCCGAAACCGAGAAAGATGGAGAACTCCAAGCAGTCATCAGAGCAATCGGGTCAGGCTGGCAGGAAAAACACACCAGAACAGGCGGTTACTGGAACGTCCGTGACGAGCTCGTACGAGAGAATGGGGTGATCTACAAAGGCCAAGCGGTGGTGATACCGAAATCGCTACGCGACGAACTCCTCAAAAAAACCCACGCATCTCATCTGGGCTTCGACGCGATGTGTCGAAGAACCAAGGACTCGCTGTTCTGGCCGGGAATCAAGAACGACCTCAAAAACATCGCGGGAGCATGCGACGCGAGCCAGACCTACCGCCCGGCACAACGGCGGGAACCACTGATCGGCAAGCCGATCCCGCAGCGGCCGTGGCAAGTAATCCACCAAGACCTTCTTTCATGGGAGAACCAGCAGTATCTCGTCACAGTCGACGGCTTCTCGGACTACTTCGAACTGGATCGCCTCGGGAAAGACACCACGGCGACAACGCTGGTCAGCGAGACGAAAACACTGTTCGCGAGATACGGGAAACCGAACGGACTACACACAGACTCAGATCCGAGATACATGTCAGCTGAATTCCAAAAATTCCTCCAACAGTGGCAAACGACCCACAAACCAAGCTCAGCTCATAATCACCAATCGAATGGTAAAAGCGAGAGCGCAGTGAAGGCGGCAAAAAGGCTGGTGAAAAAATGCACGCACACGGGCCAATGCTTGCAAGAGGCTCTCCTTGAATGGAGACTCACGCCGCAAGCCGAAGGGCAGTCACCTGCAGAGAAATTCCTTGGCCGCAAACCCGCTTCAACAATACCGACGAGACCTGCAGCCATGATTCCGCTAAACGCAGACAAAATCATGGCAAACAACGCACAGAGACGGCTACATCAGAAAACCACATACGACCGGAACTCCAAACCGTTACCAGTGCTCACCGAAGGTCAAATAGTTCGGATCCAACCCATGGACCATTCACATGAATGGAAGGCGGGCATCTGCGTAGAACGACTGAATCCGAGAACCTACCGAATCAGAACCGAAGACGGAACAGACCTAATACGGAACAGACGCTACCTTGCAGCCACCCCACACTTCAATACAGAACCTAAGGCCCAAGCTTCCGTTCGCAGATCGCCGCCGCTGCAACGCGAGCCAGGACAAACACCAAATTCAGAAAGAAGAGGCAAAGCACGGAGCGCTCAAACAAGGGGACGCGGAAGACAGTAAAGAGACTAGTGAGAAAGACTCCCCAGATCACCACGACGACAAACTCACGCAGGCAACTACGATCAACAACGAAACGCACAATTCAAGACACAACAAGCAACGAATCACGACCGGTGAATAACCCAATCGATTCTAATAATAATCGTCCACCGCAGCCCCAGGGAACACAGGCAACGGCCGTACCCAGAGGCAGGAAAAGACCACCGAACACACCGGCGGGACCGACAGCAACACGACGTCAGCGGATAACAAACTCTAGTGCCAACCGGACGACACAGCAGAGCTCACCGAGCCCGATGGACATAACGAACAACGAAACGCCTCTCGCGAGAAGAAGCCAGCAACTCAACGCAACGATACCGATGGATGTTCCGGTTAGTCAGAATAATAGCGCCGTCAGGACCACCCGAAGTGGCAGACAAATACTCACGCCAGCTCGCCTCAAATCGTGAAGGAAAGCAAAGTCGGCAAACTCTACAATAATGTGATAGTATTCTCAGCCCGGATCAACGTCAAAGCGTCCGGAATTCACGACATCGCTCAGTTCAGCGATGAGCGAACCCGACCTTATCTGTAAAAGCCACGTCCCAACCTAATTTGTTCATAGCTTGTAGTCGAAGGTAATTGTTCAACCTCACACTGGTCAGTCTGTATAGTTGGTGGACTCTCAACCCTTGTAGTTTTAATTGGTAATAGTAGCAGCTAGGGAAGAGAGACTGGTACACCGAAGTACAGTTGGGTACATTGAGGAAACATTTTGAAACTCGCAGTCATTGTTCAGGTGTATGGAGGGGAGATGTAGCAGAAGCCACTTGGAATCGACAGAGAATAAGAATAAACCATCGTCATCATCAGAGAAGGGCTCAATCTAGATCACTACAATGATTCCGATTATATTCATAATCAAGTCATCTCAAACCAATAATCAAAAGCACGATTTTGATAATAATCATAGTCATGATTGAGATTATGATCATCCCGTGATTATTATTATAACCATAATCCTGTCTGTAAGAATGAATCAGCTGAGATACTATCAAAAAGCAGAGCTTCGACATGCGCGAGGGGTTCTCGGGGTCGCTTCCTACGTGCAAGTTTGAGGTTTCCCAACGTCTTAAATTTTGGCGCTCGTGTCGCCCTCCTGAGTCAGTGATCGTTGATTAAGCCGAATCATAGAATCCATTCTTGTACTGAAAAGAAAGGGAGAAACTGACATCGAAATCCTGGACGCAGACTTCAAGGACCCTCACCTGGATGCCGATCATTCAGTTCTCTACTTCTCATATCGAGCCCTGAAATTTTTCGAGCATCTATACGTTGTCCCTCCGAAGTCAAAGGCGCTCCACCGGCCTCAATGTGCATAAAGATCGCGAATGCAGCGAAGCAATGAAGTTATCGCTCTCCGCTGTCCACCTCCTCAAACTAGGGAAGCATCATGGCTCTGGTTGTAAGTCAGACGAATCCCTTGCATAGCTTGCAGCTTGCTGTCCGCCACGCCGTACAGATTCCTTTTTTCCGGCCGTTTTCCTCGAACCCTCAAGATATCGAAACGAAATCAGGCAAACGAAAAGGATTACCGTTATTTGCAAGAAATGTGAACCTCTCGGAACGCCTAAATCAAAAGTGAAAGTTTCAGTAGATCGTTCCTCGAATTTGTCTACACATTCGAAACGGCACCACACTCCGCAGTTATGTACGGCCTTCGCTGAATGGCTAACGGACAAACGATATGCCTTCGTAACGCGCCATCCTGAACGAACCAATGAGACGCGCATGAGAAGAACTGCAATCGACTTGCAAAAGAAATTTGATGAAGCTGTTGTGAAGTTCATTACGCACACATCGGTGCCACTGCAAGTCGTGGAAGAGAAGTCTTTCGAGGAACTCTTGGATTTGTTAGGTTTGAAGCAGAAGAAATTAGAGCTTATGAGCCGTCGAACCCTCGGCCGCCGGCTGGATGAGGCGTCCGCCAAGTACCGTATTTACTTGACGGACCTTCTATCAAAACCAGCATGGGTGTCGACGACCGCTGACATCTGGTCGGGAGGTAAAAGAAGTTTCTTGGGAATGACGGTTCACTGGATAGATGGACAGTACAATCGTAGATCGGCACCTCTGGTGTGCAAACGTTTTCGGGGGACGCATTCATTCGAGAGGATTGCAGACCTCGTCAGTGAAATTCACGAATCGTACAACCTCCCGCCGTCGAAGATAAGTGCTACTGTCACAGACAACGGATCCAATTTCATCAAGGCTTTCACGGAATTCGGCATACTCGCTGTCAATGTGGGTCGTGATCGCGATGAAGTTGGTGAAAACGCTGAGGACGGAGATGTTTCAATGGATACGACCGACGAGAGTATGGCGAGCGGAGGAGAGAGAGAAGTTGAGAGAGACAGGGAACACCTAGAGGTTCGACATGATAATATTGAAGATGAGGAATCAGAGGAGTATGCAAGTAGCGGAGGAACAACGGATAATATTGAAAGTTACGCGTCAGACGACGACAGCAGCGGTAGCCGTCACACAGAGACTAATTCGTGGGTAGGCCTTGAGGAGTCAACACTTGTGCGTTTGCCTTCGCACGCTCGCTGCGCGTCGCATACCTTGTCTCTGTGCGCGACGACCGATGTGAAGAGAGTTCTGGAGAATCACAGAGCCTTGGCTGACCGCCATGATATGATCATCACGAAGTGCAACAGCTTGTGGAACGCGAGTCGTACTCCGAAATGGGCAGAAGTCATACAGGCCATCACGGGAAGGGCCCTGCCTCGGCCAGTGGTAACCCGTTGGAATTCCTTGTTTGACTCGCTCACGGCCTTGTTGGAACAGAGACCGAAAATTCCCACCCTAATGGCGAGACTTGATCTTCCAAACCCCTTCACGGATGAGGACTTTTCGTATATCAAGGAGTATTTGGAGTGTTTGAAGCCGATCGCCATAGGCCTGGATAAACTGCAGGCGGAAAAATTGGCGTTTTACGGAGTTCTTCTACCGACTCTCCACGTGGTCAGGAAACAGCTCTTCACGGTGTCCAGGACACATCTGCGCTTCTGTGGACCTGTCGTCGAGGGGCTCCTGCAGAGCATGGAGACCCGCTTTGAGAAGATTTTCAACTGTCGCACGATTGAGGGAGAGAAATCCGCTATAGCCGCGATATCCATGCCGACATTCAAGAAGGCGTGGTTCGCGTGCATCGCGCCTGAGGACCGGGAGTTCATTCTCGACAGCTTCCGAAAGCTGATGAGGGATCGTCAAGAAGGACAAACTATTCCGGAGCACCAGCCAATGACTAGGGACAACCACTACGACTACTACGACTTCGGAGATGAGCATACCACGGCCTCTTCACCGGCATCACAGAGAAGAGATGCTGCGCAGGAAATCATGCAGCAGTATCTGGACGATGCGGACACGGCTCTCGTAATGCTGGAAAAATATCCGACGATCGCGTCCATTTTCCGAGAATTCAACACGCAGCCCCCATCAAGCGCTGAAGTGGAACGATTGTTCTCATACGCAACAATGACGAATGCCCCGAATGCTAACCGCCTAAGCGATACCAGGTTCGAACAGAGAGTTATCTTGCGAAGAGCTCAATCTGTGTTCGACTGAGTTACAGATTGACGACAGCAGACGTCATTCGCGATCCATTCAGACCAGGACATGGTATCCAACCCATGCGCTCCATGAAATCGTTTCTTTTCCACCCCGTTTGAAATAAAATGCTCGAGTTATATTGACTCCTCCCGAAGTCAGACGAAGTGTTTTCACCGAAAATCAAAGTTTAGGGTAGATCATGCCATAAAACGCTCTCGATGTGTACTGACTGATAGTCATGGTGTTGGCGCAGTTGGCGCGAAGAAACCATGATCTCGGAGAAGTCGATTCGTAAAGAAGACTCCCCTAGGCTCAGGCACACAGTCGAGCTCCAGAATCGTGGGCTGCGTTTTTCACATAGCTCCCGACCATGGATCCTGGGATCGAATGAACTCAGGAGGATCAAGACCGAAAACCTGCGCTACCCTCAGGACTATTCCCCCTGTTGAGGTTTAGGTAGAAACTGGAAACCACTAGTCCTCGTTCCGTACTAGGACTATGACTCATACAAACCCACGGGGCCATATACCCGTGACGGTAGTAAAATACGTGAGTCACCGGGGTTATACCCCGAAGTTACGACTCTAGCATGATACCCTTGAGGTAGTACGAAATTGGGCTAGCACCCCACATGCTAGGTACACCCAATAGCATTCTAGGACGCTACTTATGATAGACCAGGGTAGCCTTTGTTATGTACCGAGACCCGGGGTTGCACCCTGGGGCCGGAGCGCTGGGGAAACAGAGATTGACAACTCGCTCCTTTCCTGAATTTCGAGATCTCCGCGCGGCTGTACCGGCGACCCGTCTGGAGAGATCGGTCGTTGACCACTGTCTCTGTGTTGATCCAGAGCGGACGGCGCTTCGGTGCCCTCTCTGACGGCGGGAGCTCTCTCCTTTATTTGAATTGGTGCCGGGAAACCGGACTCCATGACTATCTATGATCCCTTAATACATCATTCACTTCTGATTCCGCGACATTCTCCCCGGGGTAGCCCCATGGGATACAACTACGATTCACCAGATCCTGAATCCTGAATTCCCTCTGCTAACTTGAATAACAATTTCATAGCTAATATCGACGTGAACGAACAAGTGGGATGAGGGCAGACTTAACTAGTTCGTCGTGTTGTAGATCGGACAATCCGCTGCCTATCCATATCATTGCGATTGTCAGGCTCGGGTCTTCTTTTAAACTTCGAGGGGAAATAAATTTTGAATTGATCGCCTGAGAACTCGGCCGTCCGCGAATTTGACAAAACATGTTCTTTGCCGCAGATCCGTGCGCTTGCCTCCGACGAGAGCTGTGACGCGGCAGAGCGGCCAATGAGCTCTCGAAGGACTCGAGTCCTCCAGTAAACAGAGATCTCCAACCTTCGGGACCCTAGTCTCAATTGGTTTCGAAAAATGTAGACTCCGCAGATATTGAAGGTATTCCTTCACGAAGCGTTTCCAAAACAGACCTAGAATTGATTGTTGGCGTCGCCACCTCTCCTGAAAAATTACTGCGCCCGCGTCTTCAGGAGACCTTGGTGGGGCGGAATTTCTCGGAAGAGTGACCTTAGCTGAATTTCCGAAGATGAGGTCGAACGGAGTGAGGGCCCTAGGCTCGTCCACCTCTGACGGCACATACGTGAGGGGCCTTTGATTGATCATGCTCTCTATATCAGTCAGCGTCGTGGCCAAATCTCGGAAACGGGGAACATTCGTTCCGAGGATCTTCCGGAGTGGACGCTTGACGCATTGCACTAAACGTTCGACCCAGCCCTGTTGCCAAGGGGAACGCTCTGCGGCGAATTCCCATCGGACGTCGAACTTAGCGAGGATTGCCTGACCATCACCTGATTTGACGTATTGCCTGATGAGAGCGAGTTCTTTGTCGGCGCGTTTGAAAGTTAGGGCATTGTCCGACACAATCCTCGAGACAAACGGAAATCTATTGAAGAATCTCCTTAATGCCAAGAGGAATTCATAGCATGTGAGATCCGGGACAAGTTCGAGATGTACTGCGCGCGAGGAACTGCAGACGAATAGACAGATGTAACTTTTCGACTTGACGCCGGCATCGTTGCGAACGTACAGAGGCCCTGCGAAGTCGACTCCCACGGAGCAAAATGCGGATCCTATCCCGGTGCGAAAGTCTGGGAGTGGGGGTGGGACCTCCGCTGCTCTCTTTGCGTTGAATTTGAGGCAGACTTTGCATTGGTTGATTACTCTCTTTGCAACGCGCCTCGCTCCGAGAACGAAAACCATCGACCTGAGATGGTGGAGGATCGCGTTGACTCCGCCTGAATGTATGCATTTGACGGCATGTATCCAATTGACGTAGAGCCAGACGGACGGATCCGAGTTCGGAAGAATAATCGGATACTTCTGCTCAAAGGTCCACTCGTTGGCTCTTTCGAGCCGAGTGCGACATCGAATGACTAAGTTTTCGTCGAGGAATGGGCGGAGTTGGAAGAGTTTGCTGGACTTAGCGATTTTTTGGAGACCCTCCCTGAGTTCGCTGCTGAAATGGACTCGCTGAACTGCCCTGAAGACGAATATGACGGTCTCCGCGAATTCCTCCGAGGAGACATATGGAGAAGCATACTCGACCTGGGCTTTCCGGCATCGCCGGATGAATCGGGCGGCAAAGGCCGCTCTCTTAATGAAACTTGTCCACGAAGAGCAGCGCTCCGCGCCTAAGACATTTGAGATCGGGGAATTCTTTCTTTCCTCGGACAGTTCCTCCGAAGGATTGCTCTTGAGTATATGTTCGAAATTCATTTCCTCGGTTCGCGATAACCAAGGAGGACCTTTCATCCAGAATTGCAAATCTGCGGGATTCGTAAGCGGCTTCCCCCGGCTGAGGACGTCAGCCGGATTGAGTTCCGATGGAACGTAGCGCCAGTTGGATGCCCTGGACGACGCGTGCAATTCTTTAACGCGATTCTGAACGAAGACCTTCCAACGGTCACTATCGCCCCGGACCCACCCGAGAACCGACGCGTTATCGCAGTGGAAAATAGATTCGTCTATCGACGATCTGAAAGCCTGCACGATCTTATCGTGAATTCTGACTCCTACAACGGCTGCCTGCAGCTCCAATCGATGGATGTTCCAACAGCCCTTGAGCGGTTTCACCCTAGCCTTTGCCATCATGAAAGTAACCCGAGCGCGGCGGTCCTCCATGAATTCCTTTAAATACACGACTGCTCCGTAGCTGAGGAGACTAGCATCGGAGAAAACGTGCAGTTCCCGGCGGACGATCCCCTGATGAGAAGAAACCAGCCTGTCGACGCGGATGGATCCTGCCTGTTCGAGCTGATCACGGAACAATTGGAAAGCCTGGAGATTTTCGCCCGAAAGCTCTTCCTTCCAATCTCTTCTCTCGCTCCACAGTGTCTGGAGGAGGATCTTGAAGTTTATGGAAATCGGAACTACGACGCCCAGCGGATCAAAAATATGAGAAAGACCTCGGAGGACTGACATTTTCGTAGGAGGCTCGACTCGGAGTTGTGTCAACGCGTTGTCCACGAATACTCCGATTTTATCCTGAGGTTGATCCCAGAGGATACCCAGCATCTTGAAATTACTGTCTTGGAAAGTCACCTGAGCTTCCGGGAATTGGTCCCTCATGAACGTACCCAGAGTCGCCGAATTGGTTGCCCATTTCATGAGAGGGAATTTCCCATTCGCGAATACCTGGGATAGAGTTTCAACTCGGTGCTTGCCCTCAAGAACGTCAGACGCCCCGGAGAAAATGTCGTCCATATAGAACGAGTTCCTGACTTCTTGAAGCCAATCCGCATCCTCGGGGCGGTTCCTGATCTCAGAGTCGAGATGGTATCTCAAGCCCGCGCAATGCAAAAATGGAGAACAAACCAGGCCGAATTCCAATGATCTTCCCCAGAACTCCCTCACGGGAGCGTTAGGGTTTTCCCCTATCCCGATCGGCCAAAAGAATCTCAGGAAGGTACGATGCTTCGGATTTATCTGAAACTGCAAGAACGCTTTCTGAATATCTGACACGATGGCGATTTTGTGCGAGCGGAAGAAGATCAGAACCTTGAGAATCTCAGGAAGTAAACTCGGTCCGCAGTGAAGAACATCATTAAGAGATGCTTCGTCCCGACTTCGGGCCGCTGCGTTTTTGACCACTCTGATTTTCGGGAGTTCGGGTTTGGCTAAGCTCGACTTTTTTGCCACGGCCATAATCGGGAGATAGTGAGCTGGTTGCCCTTCTGTGCGCTGCGGGGCTGGCTCGGCGAAACCCGACGTGATGCAGTCTTTAATTTCGTTGTCGACGGCGATGATCAACTTTTGATTTTCCCGATTAGATTTCAAGAAATGAGAAAGGCAGCTACGAGCCAGCTTCTCATTATCACCTAAGGAGCCGACATTCTCCCTGAAGGGGAGAGAAACAGTATAGCCTCCGTCTGGCCTCTTCTCAATTGTCTCCTCTACGAAACGTTCAAGCTGTCCCTCAGTTTCGTCGTCGTCTTTCTCCATGGTCAGGCCGAGCCGTTCCATGTCCCAGAGGAAATCGATCTGTTGTTCGAGCCCAACCGGTAATTCTGCACCCCGCTTCGCGTTGTTCAGAATTGGATACTTTTCGGCGGAGTGTAGGGCCAGAAGAGCCGTAGAAATCGCCGACGAATCGTCGACCGAGTCGAGTCCATTGAAAAACCACCCGAAGATGGTATCGACCGCTACCATATCTTTAAACTCGTGCGAAATTTTTTGCTTGAGGGATGGAATGGCGTTCGCGCCCAGAACCACCTCGATCGTCCTCGGGAACGAAGGATCCTCGGAATCCGCGACCGGAAATAGTCCGAGCGAGTTTTGGATGACCGGGAGGGTACCCTTGGAAGTTTCCGCCAATACGGTGAAGCGCACTTCGATCCGCGCGTCCGAGAAACGACTCTTCAGCGAAATGACATGGATATCGTATTCCTGAATCTCTGAGATCGCGCCCCCGATAGTCAATAGTCTGAGCCATTCGGTGCCGACCTTCGTTGATTTGAGCCTTTCAACCAGAGACTCAGAGCAATATGACCTCTGGCTGCCCGGATCAATTAATATTCTGCAAATGGCCGAGTTCTCCCGATTCTTAGCCTCTACATGACCGGTCAGAAGGACCTCCGTCTGTTTAGACCTGGTTCTCTCGCTGATCCCAGCAAAGTGCATCGCCGAATGAGAACCCGACCCTGCGTTCCGCGGTTTGTCACACATAACGAAATAGTGGCGTTTCTCGCAGCCTGGACACTTCGGGAGACGAAATTTGCATCGCTCAGCCGAGTGATTTCGACGCAAGCATTTCGAGCACGCTTTATTCTGCGCCACCATCGCCAATCGCTCATCCACCGTGAAGGCCTTCCTACACTTGAAGCTGATATGATTCTCGCCACAGAAAATGCATGAGTGGTCCACGGCAGCCGAGTGACCAGTCGCGAAGGCCGTCGATTCAAAGCTCTGAGGTTGGGATAGAAAACTCGCATCCCCCTGATTGCTCGATAACGAACGATCGAACTTGTTACGACGGTCGCCATTGGGAGGAAATTTGATTTTGGGTTGACTCGACTCCCTCTTACCGCTGAAACGCGAGGGTTTGGAGTCCGATTTATCGAACCCCACCGATTCCCTTTCGGCGTCCGCGATTCGTTCCAAAAACTTCATCATTTTTTCCAGGTCGCACTCTCTCGATTCGTCCTCGGAATGATGGTCCCTGACCCATAGGGAAAACTGCTCTCTCCGCCACTGGGGTAATGCTTCGAGGATAACCGGAAAGATAGTCGTTGACAACGTCCCGTACGAACTACCTAGGGCGATAAGCGCTTTGATATTCATCGAGATCTGAGTGGCGAAATACAATAACTTATCGTGTCGCTGTGGATCCTTCTGGCCGCAGATCTTCATGATTGCCAGCACATGCTCGGAGTTGGCATCCCTCACTTTGCCGAAACGATCCTTCAGGGTTTGCTTCGCGACCTCGTAGCTGGATTCAATGAGTTTGAGATCCGCTATGGCTAGAGCTGCTTGGCCGGTGACTGAGAGTTTCAGCAGTCTGAATTTTTCGGTCAATGGAAGTGACTTCGAGTCAACCAGAAATTCGAAATGTTGCCACCAGTCCCGATATCTTCTCACGTCGCCGCTGAATCTAGGGATGTCCGAGACCCTCGGAGCATGGGTGACCAGCATTGTAGGTTGATGATTTCCCGCGACGGCTGACTCGACTGAAGTTTGGGACGTGTCCCCTGAATTCGCAGTCATGCCGCAGGCCCTTGACGCTCTTTCCACGAAATCTCGGAGTTCCACCATGATTGATTAGGTCGATTGACGGTATCGGAGAGCGTTTTCCACCGACAACTCGAATCGGGTCGGCTGACACGCCGAAGTCAGCGGTAGTAGGATTTTGTCGAGCTCGGAGACTTCTTCCTGAAGTTCTTCTATTTTCGTGATGTATTTGAGTGCCTCCTTGCGCGAGCCCTCGCCAGGCACATACTTTGCCGAGAACTCTTCGGCGGCCTTGATCGTCTTCGTTAGGTTTGTCCGGAGTGTCGAGCGTTGCTTATAGTTGAGATTGAAGGTTCGTGTTTCTTCCGCCGATGGGGTATATGCCTGCTCCGGGAGTTCCTCGCAATCCTCATTTCCCATTTTTAACGACTGGTTCACGGGTGTCCGGAGTGACGAAGAAGAACTGGGGTGAACTAGGGAATTCGCGCAGTTGTCGGCGCTGTCGGCTGGCGATACTCCTCGGAACCGCTATGTCGAGAGATCGGAGCGTTTTTCACAGGCACTGGCTTCGATCGGGCTTTGGAAACTCGGTCACGAGCGGGGAGTCCCGGACGTTGACAATCCCGAACTGAATTCGGAAACCACTTTCTGACACCGAATGTTATGTACCGAGACCCGGGGTTGCACCCTGGGGCCGGAGCGCTGGGGAAACAGAGATTGACAACTCGCTCCTTTCCTGAATTTCGAGATCTCCGCGCGGCTGTACCGGCGACCCGTCTGGAGAGATCGGTCGTTGACCACTGTCTCTGTGTTGATCCAGAGCGGACGGCGCTTCGGTGCCCTCTCTGACGGCGGGAGCTCTCTCCTTTATTTGAATTGGTGCCGGGAAACCGGACTCCATGACTATCTATGATCCCTTAATACATCATTCACTTCTGATTCCGCGACAGCCTTATCCTATGTATATGTATGTACGGATCAGGACATGTAAGGAGGAGCTTAGACTCCTGCCTAGGTATAAAAGACCTAAGATTTCGAATAAAATTCACTGTGGTATCTCCCTCTCGTGAGATCGCATCTCTGTGTATTCCTGAACGGGCTGCTCTTCTACTCCTGACCAGAGCTACGAATCTTGACCTTCAACACGTTATCAGCTCTCTGGCCCTTACCAACTGGCTGCACAGAGGTCCTGTGCATCTCCTCAACGATCGAGAGGGTAAGCTGAAGCTCTTTACCTACTGGTTTAGACGTACAGCTACGAGCAACTGCACAAGGTTTTTCGGCGCATGCAAAAAGTGTCAGAGATTGAGGATTCGTTTGATCTTTGTGATCGCGACTTGGCTCCACCTCAACTCTGTACCAATCAAGTAAGGTGATGGCCGACCCTACTTCTGAAAG